AAGCTACCCTCTTAGCAAACTTTTCAATGTGCAATATGGTATTTTTGATTATAGGTACAATGTCTTACAGTAGATCTCTACAACTTAGTCATCGTGCTGAACTAAAGATTTATGCTCGTTGAGTAGCAACTCCCCATTCCTCCTCCAGGCCCTGATGGCCACCATCCCACTCTTTGGTTCTGTGACTGTGACTATTTTAGAGACCTCCTGTTAGTGGGGTAATGCAGTATTTGATTTTCTGTGACCGGCTTATTTCACTTAGCATAATGTCTTCAAGTTTCACCCACATTGTTGCATATTGCAGAATTTCCTTCTTTTTAAAGACAGAATAATATTCTGTTTATGTATATACCACGTTTTCTTTTTATCCATTCATCTGTTGATGGACAGTTAGGTGGTGTCCACACCTTGACTACTGTGAACAGTGCTGCAACGAGCACAGGAGTGCCTAATATTCCTTCAAGATCCTGATTTCAATTGTTTTAAATAAATATCCCAAAGTGGGCCTGTTGGATCATAGGGTAGTAATGATCAAGGCAGCACAAATCAAACCATACTGAGATAAACACTTCACATCTCTCAGGTTGCCATTATAACAATAAAAAATACAAGACAAAGTATTTGCAAGGATATGAAGAAAAGAGAGCTCACACCGTTGGTAGAAATGTAAAATGGTGCAGCCACTGTGGAAAATAGTGCAGAAGATCCTCAAATAATTAAAATAGAATTAGATAGATAAAGTGCTTTCATTATGAAAATCATTTCATTCTCAGAAAGATGCCATAACTTTAGTTCTCTCAAACTTCAATGTCTAGTCTCCATAAGAAACTCACAAGTCAGGAACACCCATCTGATAGTACATATTTAATTTTAGGAATTGCAAATGAATTACAGGAGTTCATGCATCCCTTAAATTTCACTTTGTTTCTACTGACTGTTGTACCCATTGAGAAAATGTTGTCTTTATTTTGTCATCTGCTGTGTCGGCTACACTGGTACCCCTGTTGTTCTTGCATCAGCCCCCCATCTATATATTCATCCAGATCAGACATACGGGAGATGATAAACACCAAGTCAAGGATAGAACCTGTAACTTACCCTGGTAGGTTACCCTGCTAATAACTAATCCACCTGGTTATAGCAAAGTCCAGTGGTTTCTAAGCAAGATGGTCTTCAGAATCAACTGGAGATCATTGTGCTCACCAGATCTGACCCAGGACTACCTTAATCAGAGTTTCTGAGGATGGGGCTCAGAAATAAGTTGGCTGATACAACACCCCTGGAGATGCCAGGCATCTCTCAGGCTTATTTTCCACTGATATGGCCCACATTTTTCTAATTTGTCCAGAAACATATAAGGAGAAACCAGACCAACTCCTTTGCGGAAACTGAGACATGCTATGCTTCGGACTCTTCAGTCTAATATGCCCATATTAAGATAAAATTAGGTTACTTAAATATATAACTTAATTTTGATAAAATTAGAATTACTTTCTAGTGCTTGATGAGGTTCAGGCTTCATTGTTTTAGACTTACCTCTGGGAATTATAATATGTTTAACTGCAATCAGTGATTAAGTCATGATTATCTAGCACTACACCTAATTTTACCAAAGAAAAGTCGGAAACCTGAAGCGAAGTGACTTTCCCAAATTCAGGAGGTGAATCAGTGGTGGAGTCTAAACTAGGCTCCAAATAACCTGATTCGAGCTCCTTGCTCTTTCCTACACAACATGCCGTGTCTCAGATTTATACTTGGCTTTGAAAGGCATTGTGGCTTTGTTTGATTTACTACATATGAGATGGTCTTTTTTATTTAATTTTGCTTCTGCTGATGTAAAAATGAATTTGCACTCATTGAGAACATGCCAACTAATAGCAGAATGAAGGGTGGGGGGAGGAAAAGGAGTATATCAACATATTGCAAAGGTTATAAAATCAAATTTAAATTGAAATATTCTGGAAGGAAATTCACAGAAATAACGTTGAAAAAACTGGGAGTATAGTAGAAAGTATTCTGGGTTGAAGATCTTGCTTCATGACTTTGGATAAATCAATAATCTCTTTATAAGAATGTAGTTTGTGGAAGTCTTATGAACCTCACCTTGCTATGGAAAAGTGCATTTCTAATAGCATAAAAGATGATCTTATTCACTTGTTTTATCTATATATCAAAATTAAAGCAATTACTCTGCTGTATTAAAAGAATAAATAAAGGAGAAGTCACATTATAAGGCCACAATATTAAAACTGAGGCCCTCTTACATTGTTGGGAGAAATGTTTCAATATAAAATATTTGGAAAAATGAAGAGAATGTTTTATCTATTCATCACTGTTATCATCTAATTATGGTAGCCACAATAACCAGTCATTGCATCCTTCCTTTTTATCAGACACTAAGTTAAGGCCTTTTCTTTAAAGCCTCTGGTTCAGCCTTTATACCATACCTAGGAAGCAGGTATGGGTTCCACCTTACAAATGGGAAAAAAACATCCCTAAACTTTGAAACTTTAAATGTTATACAGCACCATGATGTGGGACTACACTTATTTTGATTTGAGACCCAACTTAAACATACAGTAAAGGCATAACCAAGCTGAATATCCAAGAAATGACACCGACACAATGTATGCCTATTCCTACATTTAGGACCGTAGCACACAATGGTCCACAGCTAGTAAATACTTGTGCCTAATTTTTCTCACCTCTGAAATCATCAGAAGAGACCATTGGTGGAAAACTTATTTTTTTAAGTACACAGTTAGAAAATACTACTAAGACACAAACATAAGCAATATTTCCCCATAAGGCACTACAATTAGCTTAAATGACTCCACCTCACCAAAACCCACCCACCTATTGAATTTGTTGGCAGCCTGTATAGACAATTGTAAAATTATTTCGTTATTCATTGTATCAGCAGATCTTGGCACGTCATCGCACTTAGTTTTCGCCAGTTGAAAAAAACAATGGCATTCCACTCTCTTTGGGGCATGATTCTTTTCAATCACCAGTGTCCATTAACCATCACAGGGGTGGCTAACATAATGAACACCCGTTTCATTTTAAGCACATGCCAGGCCTGACCTCCCACTCTTAGCACAACTCCACAGGGAAAGGGGCATCCTTCTCCTTCTCTGGTGGCAAGAGGAGGCAAATGCATTTCAGAAAGGCTAAATAACTCGACCCAGGCACCCCGCTGCTGAGTAGCAACATCAAGATCTAAATCCCACAGTTCAGGCTCATTTGTCTACCACAGGCTGCCTCCCACAGGCAAGGCTGAAGCACAGAAAACCATGTAAGTGTGTTCATGGCCACACAGCAAGTCCACGGGGGTTTCAGGCTGAACGCCAAATTTGAACCCTCTTGGGTTGGGGACCCTGCACTATTGATGATTTGTTTTTCAGAGGAGACCTAGATGACTTTCAACTGAAATTATGAATTCCTGAGCACGTTGCTTTTTGAAACACAAATACCACAGGAGGAAGCGCGTCAAACACGCAGTCTTTTTCTAGACCAATTCAGAAAATGAATTTGTTGGCTCTCCCCTGGGAACATACATGCAGGGAATAATGAGCATGATAGTCAATGTATGGACCTCTGGGGAACTCATTTATGGAGGGGCTGAGAAAAAGCCCAGAAGGTCCACAGATAAACCAGGGAGCGTCCATGTAGTCAGAGTCCTCATCAGCGAAGCTAACAATCCCACCATCTGTGCTCCCTCCCTCCCTGCTCTCTTCCAACAAGACATGCTAAGCTGAACAGAGAACAGGCAGCACACAGAACAGCCAAGAAGTTACAGTCAAGGAGGGGGGTGTTTCCGCCAGTACATCTACTAGTCCTTTCTCATTGCCCCGGTGAGCGGGGAAGTTTCCCTCCGTCCTCACTGCTTCCTCCCTGCTTCTGGTCTCCCACGTGGCTCCCTGTACTTCCCTCCTCCCTGGGCTCCCTCCTTAGTCACATTCCTCCTGTCAGTTCTCTGCACCGGTCCAGCAGGCAGAATCTCTCTCTAAAAGTCAAATCACAGGCTGTCCCTGTCTTGCTCAAAACCTTTCAGTTCCCCTCGGCCCGCAGGATGAATTCAGCATGGCCCTTGAGACCCTGCTGCGTGTGCTCCTGGCCTCCTCTCCCCAGTAAGTCCCCTTCCAAAGATTGGCTCCACTTATTAGGCTTGAGACTCGGCAAGTGAGCCGCTCAGCTGGGGTGCTAAACTGAAGAGGATGCCAAACGGCTTAGGAATCAAGATGAGTAATGCTCTAATTCAATATGTTTTTTTCAAAATCACAATTAATGCAAATAAAGCCATGATGAGCCGGATATCAAAAGTTTAAATAAAAGGTGTTGTGCCAAACCACATTGGAGCCCGAGGCAAAAGGAAAAATCAGTAGGACTGATTCTATTTTTATTTAAACTTTTAATATTTGGTTCATCATGGATTTTTGCATTGATTTTTATTTTCTTACACATAAATATTAAATAACAGCCCTAGCCCTGCCTGTAGATCTAAAATGTGGCAGAAGCTGATTGTGGAAGACTTGTGAGAGCATACACAAAAGAGAAATTTGAGAATCATAAGAGAAAGAGAGAGCTAGAATTTGGAAGAAGAGAATGGAATAACAACCACTCAGGTGACATTAGAAACAGAGAACTGACCTGGAGAGGACCTTGGCAGGGAGAGATCATTGTTTGCCTTTCGCCATCGTTTCCCATCATTCATGCTGATATTGGACTCTGACTTATGTATCATTGAACCTCAGTCTACATGTCGAGAAAATGAAGGGACTGGTGAAGGTAAGCCAGAAACCAAAGCTGAAATAGAACCAGGATCTTTTGAATCTTCATTTCACCATTAATTTATTTATTCATTCAGTCATCAAATATTAAATGCTTAGAAATAGGGCTGCCAGATAAAATATAGGACTTCCAGGTAAATAAGAATTTGAGATAAGCACAAATAATTTTTAGTCTGTCCCAAATATTCCATGGGACATACGTAAATTAAAAATATATATATATTGTTTATCTGAAATTCAAATTTCCCTGAGCATCCTGCATTTTTATGTATTAAACCTAATATCCTTACTAAAAGATGACTAGGTCCAGGCACTCTACTAAGAACTGAGCATGGGACACAAAATAGATCCAATCATTGTCCTTGTGGCATGTCCAATGACTGAGGCAGGCATTAATGGAAATACTGCCCAGGTGACTCTAACTAGTGTATTGTGATAATTTCTTAGGGAGGAAAAGGACAGTGCTCAATAGCAGGACCTAACCTGGGCTGGAGAACTAGTGAAAGTTCCCCAAGGAAAGGATATTTAGAGATCTGAGGTTCAGGGAGGATTTAATTAAATAAATAGAAAGGGAATGGGACTTTGGGGGGCAGAAAGGGCAATATTTGTGAAATGATTTTTAGGTAGGAGGAATTATGGGAATTACGGTCTGCAGGGGAACAGGCAGCAGTGTTGCTGGACCTCAGAGAAGGGGAGAGAGAAAGAGAGGAGAGGCTGGAGGGGTGGGCAAGGGCCAGGACAATCAGGGTCCTGCAGGTCGTGCTTAGCGCACCCAGCTTTGTTCTAGATAAATGCAAAGTCATTGAGGGGCTTAAAGTAGGGGTTGAGAAGATCAGGTTTCTAAAAGGTACCCCGTTTAGTGGTGGAGAGTTTGGGACCTGGGAAGAACTAGGGGACCTGCAACCCAGATAATAAATGGCAGTGACTTGGACCATCATCCGTCGGTCCTGTCCCAGTGCTGAGGAGAGAGAAGATTTGAATGCAGTGTCTTTCCTGTTTCCTTAGGCTGTCAGGTAAGAGATGATGACATTAGTGATCATGAAAATGGAAAGGAAAGGATAGATGCAAGAGACACTATAAAAGTAGAATTGTCAGGACTTGTTCAATAACTGCCTCTTGATTGATTGAGTAGAAATTAATGTCTGATGCCTTCAGTGGAGAGGAAAAAAATAAGCACACGCATTATGCGACTGTTTAAAAATTGCTGCTTTATGTTCTCCTAGATCTTTTAATGTCACCAAATGTCACCCGTTCTGATTGTGTGCATGTAACACCACATGTAATTGATCCTCCAGGTACTAGGATGTGTAATTAAGCATATATGCATGGTGACTTGTAATTAAGCATAGTTATTGTGATGTGCACAAAGGGGGATGCATCCTGGTGTGTGTAATTATGCATGTGTCAGATGACATGAAATCACAACTCATTCTGTGAACAGGCTAAGGTCTCAGCTCCTATCTCGACCTGTTAATTGGTATTAATCTGCCTCTTTTAGAAGAACATATTTTGTAATTGAACTCTGAGGCTTGAGCTATGGAAACATCCATGGATAACCAGAAAAGAAAGTTCTGTTTTCTTTCCATAAGTATGCAATTGATATACATCAATCAGCTGGAAGAGAATATTGGGGTAATTTCCAAACAATGTCCTGTGTATAATAAAATGTTCTCACAAGGTCACAGGATGACACAGGTTCCTTAACAGTCCCTCCTGTCAAAGAAGGCAGCCTGTGTGGTGCAAGAGTATATTCTAGATTCCTTGGTCATCTTCAGACAGATCCCAAGCCACCCTGTCAACCAATGAGGCTCAACTGACTACCTACAAGTGGTTTTTCAGGTCAGACTGGCTAAATTCCAGTCTTACATTTGCCATTTATGAACTTGATTACACAAAGTACTTAAACCACAGCTTTCTCACTTCTAAAAAGAGAATAATAATAATAGTATTAATATATTGCTCAAGGTTGTTGTAAGGATCAAATTAGATGGTATCAAAAGGCTTGGTAGAAAGTAAGATTCAACACTTGTTAGCTATGTAGGCTTTATGTACATTTTCTTATTCGGCCTTCACCATAATTCCACAGCATAGATATTTTTATTTCATGTATAGATGAAGATGCTGAGATCCAGAGAGGTTAAGAGTGTCACACAGATATTAGGAAATGGAGGAGGGGTTCAAATCTAGTTCTGTCTTACTCTGAAATGTATGAATGTCATATAGCATCCTTCCCCCTTTTGGTTGCAATAAGACTTTGCTTTAGTATAAGCATTATATCACACCAAGTTGTGTGTGCGTGTGTGTAAAGAACTGTAGAAGCTCTGGAACCAAAAAAAACCCCCTAAATCAGAGTTCTAGATCCATTACTCATTACTGGTGTGAGCTTAGCAACTTATTTCCCCTCTCTGGGCTTGCGTTTCTTCATCTGTAATGTGGGGCTATTAATACCTTACTCAGAGTGTTTCTGAGATTATTAAATGTCAATTTATCTATAACAGTAGCCATAGAACCTGGCACAGAGCCTGTCCTCAATGGGAGCTGCGTCATAATTTTTTTCTTTTCCTTTTCTTCTTCATCTTCATAGTCCCACAGTATCAAACTCCTTTGCATGGCACAAAACAGGATCTCAGTAAATGTGTGTTGAGTTGAGCTGGTTTTCACTGACAACCATCACATCTAGAGGTAGAGTTTTGTGGCTCAAGACCCCTTGAACAATGGAATATGATTCTCCTAGACTGAAAAGGCTTGTTGCTGCATCATCAACCTGTCGGGCAGGAGATGGACAGAGGAGGAAAAAGACTAGACCTCCCAACCCCAGCCTGCCCCCCTCATCCTGGCGTTGTGATTCCTCTACAGAGCCGCCAGCATCGCACAGAAACTGTCTGTCTCGTGCCCTCGGTTATCATGTCAGCAGTGAGACACGGGGCATCAGAGTGATGGGGCTGTCATGAGGCTGAAATGTTTTCTCTGTGCTCAGAAGAAAGGTTTTGCTAGGAGTGGGGAGGGAAGGAACTCAGGCACCTGATGGGGCTTGACAGCTGATTTCATTTCTTTGTCAGAAATCATCTTCACTCTTGAGGGTCTTAGGGAGCTGGGGAAGGAAGGAAGCTTAGTGACTCCACTCAGATGGTACCTCCAGACCAAGGCAGACAGATGGGAACAGGAGCAATGAGAATCAGGTTCGCTCCAGCCTAGATCCCCCTTGACCATTAACTCAGAAGCTCATGGCTTTCCTGGTGCACCCTTGTGAGCCTTGTACTTGTCAGTGACCTGACCTGCAGGCCAGAAAGTGGACACAGCAAGGTCTTCCTCTGATGGTAGTGAACACCTAGAACCTTCATCTTTTCATTATTCATCTGCTACTATTTTATTCCAATTCAGTGTGTCTTCTGATTCTGCCACTTAATGTCTTAGCTTGATTTTCCTAACAGTGACACTTGATACGCCTCCCTAAGAACTTTGTTTCAGACCCGTGGCTCTGGCATGCTCCACTCCTAGACATTGTAAGACAGAGACCTACTTCTGTTTTAAGTAAAATTTTTCTGTCCCATGCCCAGTAATTTATCCTGGAAGGGACAGACCCCACACATCCCCTTCAGAAAAGTTGCTAAAAGCTGAAATATATCTGAGCTCATGCTCACTCTCCACCATGTCTTCCCATTGTTCTGTGTGAATTGACAGGCAGCCGTTCTAGGCCAAGAGCCTTTTTGTCAAAGTCTGTTCTGCAGATCTTACATTTATTTTCAATGGCATAGGAAATATTCAAGTTTATGGCCATGAACCTTGTATGCTGGCACCTCTTATCAAAGATGCTTGGCATTTGGAGAGAGTCACATGAGCCTAGATGTTTAGGCATAAAGTCAGTACTTTGCTCCCCCATTTCTTCATTTTCCTTGTGAGCACAGTTGCCTCTTCAAAGGGTCCCAGAAAAATTAGCAATGAGACACCACACCCTCTCCACAAACACTCTGCAGGTCCCCCAGCCTAGCTTTGGAGCCCTCGGACTCATTTGGCTGGTCCTTAAGCAATTCAGACAGACACACATTATCTATGCCTTAATCTGGTACATACCTCACTTGTTCTAGCATCATAGGCATGCAGATAACCATGTTATCAAAGATAAGGATTTATATATACAATTTATATGACAGTCAGGGTTAAAGAGATGATATTTTGGGGAAAACTTTTCCAGATTCCAGGAATGTCAAAAGAATTTATTCAACAAATAAGGACTCATTTTCCATTAAGGGCCAGAAACTGTATTAGGTACCAGGATTCAACACAAGCAAGACACGGGAAATACTGTGCCTCTGCCCCAAGGAGTCTCAAGACTAATGGTCAAAAAGGCAGGTCAGCTGACTCTGATATACTCTAAGTGTCATGTTAGGCATGAATACCGACCGGACATTAAGGAAGGTGTTCTGACTCATGAAGGACAAATGGGGGATCAATCAGGGAGGCAGAGGGGCATTCCAGGGAGAAAAGGAAATGTGCAAAGGCTACAGGTTGAGGCTGAAGACAGCGTGGATAAGAGGCCCTGGGTGGAGGTCAGCTCTGTGGGAGCAGGAGAAAGAACAGACGGTAAATAAGGACTGGGGCATCGTGACCAGGGCAGTCTCTGGAGTGACACCACCAGACTGTAAACCTTGACTATGCTCCTTATAAGCTGGGTACCCTGTGTCTGTTTCCTCTTTTCTCTGAGCCTCAGTGTCCTCATTTGTACAATGGGGACAGAGTAGTCCCTATCTCATCAGGCTGGTGTAGAGATTAAGTTAGTTATTGCATATTCCATGGTTAGAACCCTGTCTGGCCCGGAGCGGGTGCTGAACAACATGGTAGCTAATCTCAAGGGACAGAGAAGGGGAGGGTGGTTAGAAGTCTTCTGAGAGATGAGGCTGTCAGAGCTCAGGTCCAGAGGGGTTTTGTTAGTTGTGCTAAGAAATAATGCTTGAACTCTGACCACAAATGCTTGTCATCCAGAAGGGGAGAGACAGTAGCAGAGTGACATAAATGCTGCACATGGAGAGAGAGTGGGCGGGGATGGGGGAGCTCAGAGAAAGGTGTGAGAGGACCAAGGAAGGCTTCTCAGAGTAGACGAGGATGGGGTGAAGTCCTGAAGGAGATGATCCATCTGGGAAAGCTGGGCTCAGACATATGGTGCAGACAGAAGCCATCTCCAGAAACACATGCATGTTGGATCCAGAAGCTCTCACTATCTGGAAAGTGAAGAGAAAGACCACTGAGCTTTTCAGTTTCAGGACTCATGGCGCTGCCAGCATCCCCTTGCCGTGTGGGTACTGCATTAAACACATTTCCATGCTCCCCTACTTGAGCCTCACCACCTGAAAGGTAGCTCTCAAAATCCCCCTTTTACAGAGAGGGCTCTGGGAGGTTGCGTGATTTGTCCAAGATCATAAAGGTAAGTGGGGGAGCTCAGCTGCGAAACCAATGTCCATCTGACTTTGACGGCTGGAGGATTAACCATTAATTTTAGATATTTAAACTTCAACTAAGATGCTTCCCAGAGAACTTTTTTCCCAGAAGACAAGGGAGAGATGCTTCAGAAGAGAACCCAGGGGAGTGTCTATAAAACCAAGAGTCCTTTAAAAGCCCGTCTAGTGAAGCAAACAGGAGATGAGATCTTTCTCAGTGCACCAGTGTGTATGGGAACGAATGTGTGCAGCTATGTAGGTGTGTGTACACGTACATCATTACCAAGACTATAAATCCTTTGATACTGGTTGGTTTTATTTGATAAATACACATAGATTGGAGACAGGTTGGCAGACACACAGACTTACATATATGCAGACAATCAGATTGGGGGCTGGGAGTGAATAAAGCTGCCCTCGTGGTTGACTCTAATAAAACAGCTCTGTTGGAATAATGCAGTGCCTGAGAGACGGGGTGTAATATGGCTAAATGCTTTTACAGTTCCCCATTAAAGTAAGTGGATGGAAATTCATAAAATATTGATAGCATTTGAAATGTGTTCATTCACAGCTCTGCCCAGAATCTCAAGTGGTGGCAGGGTGACTGGCCCCAGCCAAGGCAGCATGCCCCAGCCAGCACAGCCCCTCAAGGCCCAGATACTTGGGATGTTATCTGGCCAACTGACTTTGTAATTGGAGCACTGTGATGAGGCAGGTGGAGGAAGAAGAGAGATCTCCACCTTTTCTAGTCCCCATGCCCAGTAAGGAAAGCATAGACAAAGGAGTTTTACCCCATGGCATGAGCAAAGCTCTTGGGCAAAATTATACAGCCAGCTCAGCAAAATCAACAGAACTCCAAGTTTTTGTGATGTTTCTTCCCCCTGCTCCAGCCATGTGTAAGAATGAAGCTTTGATCACTCAGCTGCTGGCCACAGCTGATTGTCCCACAAGTACCTGGCCAAATGAGGCTGATCAGAACTTTTCCCTGGCAACTCTTAAATGGTGCCCCAGGGAGCCAGTCTGTTTTTGTTGGTAAGTCTGAGATGCCTGGCTACAGACTACTTCCAAGTCTGCTTCTCTTGATGGAGACAAAGCCTTCTAAGGGAACAAAACCTGCAGAAAGAGAAAAGCAGACACAAAGAAGAAAATGCCTTGTGATGTTCAAACCCTTGGTTTTATCATCCCACGGGAGCAACGGAAACACTGCTTTAGTTTGCAGAAGAAAAAAAAAAAATCCCTGATTCTGCCTAAGCAAACTTGACTTCTGGAAAATGTCACCTTCAAACTCATTTTGCTTTATATCCCCCATCTGTATATAATAATTAATAATTAGGTATAGTATTTATGGATCATTTTTCCATGTACTGATTATGTTGCTGCACTCCTTCCTTTATGAATTTTCACCTTGAAAACTCAGAGGAATCCTATGAAGTTTCTATTATTGTCATTCCCATTTTACAGATGAAGAAGCCAAGACTCTAAGAGGCGACACAGCTAATTTCATATATTTATTAAATGGCAGAGCCAGGAGTCAAATAAGGATGAGTTCGATGCCAACTCTGTGTTCTTAGCTGGTACACTCCACTCTACTTCCTCTCTAAAATGATCCTGGATATACAGACATTTAACTGTGTTCCGGCTCCTGCTGCCCCCGGGCCATCACTCCAAGTTCCACGGACTCTCACTCCCAAATGCATTGCTGCCGTCTTCCCTACTGTCTCCATCGTAGGTCAGGTAGTCATTACCCCTCGTCTGGGCTGGGGCTCCCTAACTGATCTCTCAGATCCCAGTCTTTGTCAAAGGAAATTTGTCCTCCACTTTGTAAGTGTCCTTTTCTTTCTTTCTGTCAAACGCGGCTTTGATCACGCTACTCCTTTGCTGGAAAGTCTTCAGTGAGAACACATTTTATACCAGACCAAGGTCAAATTCCTTCACAAGGCATTCAGTGTTTTTCACGGTCTGACCCCAACCTAGCTCTCAAGACTAATTACCAGCAAGTCTCCGTGACCCTCCCTCTCCTCCGTCCACTCTGAAAAGTCCCATTCCTAACGTGCTTTTCTCTTGCATCTTTCTTCCTAGCCTTTTCTCCTTCTCGTACAGAACTGATCTTCTCACGCGGCCACCCAGTTTCTCATGGGGAGACCTACAACTGAAACCCAGGTATTCTAAGTCTCAAAACCTGCTCCTCATGATTGTTCGCTTAGTATTTTTTCCCACATAGTCACTGAGTGCATCAAGCTGTTTGATTTCTAAAACTCCGGGCTTCTCCCTTTGGGGATGAGAGCATTCATGGCATTCACAGTCCCTGGTAACACACAGTACCTGAGAGGAAAAATACCGTCATTTGTTTAATCTGCGAGATCATTTTTTGCCATGTATTGGTGTCTATAAAGATTTTAAGATGATGTGACATAGGATATACATGTGTTAGTGAACTACCAGGTTCAAAATTTTCTTTAGGGATTTTTAGTTTCACTTTGTACCCTGTATAAAACTTCCTTTCATAGGCACCTGAAGGCTGGTAACCCATTCTTTCCTGCAGCTCCTGCAGCGGGGAGAGCTCGCCGTGCCTACTGTCGCAGTAGTGGAGCACACTCAACAGCTCCAGGGGGGCCCTAGATGCACTGAGCCCAAATCAAATTCCTGGCAACGCCAAATGCTGATTTCATTCCGCCTCCAAGACACGCTGAATGAGCCCACTCCTTCTTCCATGCTGCAGTAATTTTTTTAAAAAGACATTTGAACATGGGTCCTGTACAATTCCACTTGACCCATGAGCCTCTCTCATTCTTTGTGGGCACCTTCTCCATCAGTTTCTTTCACCCAGGAACTAGCTCTCCAGTGAGGGGTCCTTTCTTGGATTGACGACCATTAAAGGGAAGTAGATGTGCTGACAGGTAAGATCCGGGGCAGGATATTTGCTGGGACGCTTTGGCCTCTGGGAAGTCAATGCAGGAATACTTCAGTTTCTGAAGATTAAATTGGGTTTTACTAATGGCTTGAATTTCCTATGGGCAGAGAGAGTGGAAAGTAATACAAGGAAAGGAGATTTCAATCCAACACTTGATAGACTCCCCCAGAAGACTGAGCCCCAGATGGTGCCTCTGTGCCCAGGTGTGCTGCTGTTGAAACCATAATCAGGCCCCCTCCCTGCTGAGTTAGCAAGAAGGTGTTTTTTAATCTAATGCAAGTGTAATTAAATCCTTTTTCATCTTGAGGAGAACCGTTTGCTTGGAGGGTTCTCACAGAGCAAAAATTCTCTTAGTTTGCTGTTGAACTCTGCCATTTTGCCAATCTGATCTCGAGTGTGGGCTTCACCTCTCCGAGCCTCAATCTGCTCAGTTATAAAATGGCACTTGGTCCTGTTTGCTTGGTAGAATCCCTGTTGTGTGGACACCCTTCCAGCTCCTTTTCACCTGGTCAGCCCTGACTCTAGCCGGAAAAATTATCTGTGACATTAGTTCTTTGGAAGAGTCCCCGGACTTCCTGACCCCACAGACTAGAATAGATCCCCACAGAGGTGCTGCCACAGATCATCATATCTTCCTTCTTGTAGGACTCCTGATACCTCGGGCTGTGTGCCTAGTTCTCCATCCCTTCAGGACTGCAGGGACTATGAGAGGAGGAAGAATACCCACCCTGTCTCCTGCCTCGTCCAGTGTCTGGAACCCAGTGAGTGTTACAGAAATATTTATCAAAAGAGTAAAGAAGCTTTAAAACTGATAAAGATACAAAAACACAGACGGGAACATGATAGTCATCTGTCACCACGCATGTGAGTGCAATGGACGCTTCCAGTGAAACTTTTCACAATAACAAAGATTATTTCTAGGTCTTGCCAAAAGAAAATGACAACATCCATCTAACTCTCAAGCCAAGGCATGCTGTTAAAGCCAGAGATCTCAATGGTAGCATTTCAGGAGCCCCTCTCATTGTACGGGTGAAGGAGTCTCAAAGGAGATTTCACTTAAATATTCATCTGCAGCTGATTTTAGTCAAAACACTCTGAAAGATGGAATGGGGAGGCAGCAGCACCATTTGCTTCTTCCTGGTGAATACCTGATCAGATTTCGGCTGGGTGTGAAATCCTTTAAGCCACATCTCTTCCTCCAGTGTCAGCCAGGGACACCAGTCCCAGCCCAACTCCCCCAGTGGAGTTCAGGTGCAATGGGATCTGGGAGTCTGTGTCACTCCTTTTCCAGTCATGGGTTTCTTGACCTGGAGCAGTGGGACAGCCTTGGGGACTGATGGGTGATCAACTATGTGCAACCCAGAAGTATAGGTGAACTGGTACCTAGAGGGCCACCTTGACCACTGGATGGATAGACACCTCCCTTGTTGTCCCCAGGCTGAGTTCCGAGTTATTTCATGACATCTGTTCAAGAGTTCCTTGAAAACACTTGAATTTTTTGTAAATTGCAGCACAAGGCTTTTAGAGCACCAAACAACTCAGTGACATCTGTTACGGTTTTCCCTCCATCCCTTATCACTCCCCAGCCCCCCACTCCTGTTCCCTAGGGACACTATCTGCATGTAAGCTGTCATCTCAGGCTTGTCATCCAAAGGCATCCAGGATAAGACAACAAAGGTTTGCTTTTTCTCCCCACTGATCCCCAAGTAATACCACTTATACCACTGACCACAGGTTATTTGTTTTTACCGAGTTAAATGCACATATCATACAACTAACCATTTTAAAGTGTACAATTCAGTGGTATTTAGAGAATTCGCAATGTTGTACAATAAGGAGCCCTTTCTAGATTCTAAGAGATATAGAGGCACAAATGTAAACACCCTCCTCTATGCCACACCTCACTTCCTCTGACCTTGAATTAGCAGAAATCTGGAAGAGGACGTTAGCCTTATACAGCCATGGAATTCCCCTACATCACCGGAGGCAGGGAGTCTTCAAAAGGACGAATGGGGTTACAGAAGCGTAATCAGTAGGTGGGGACAATGACCATCACTGTGAGGATGAGACGCATCAGAGCTCATTTGAATTCATGGAGTCAAACTATATATTCCAGTAGTTGATTGCAAGACCATCAGCAAGCCGTGCACGGACGCTCCTTGGAACTGAGCAGCAACTCAGGACACTTTGCAGGAGGGGCATGTGTGGCTAGAGGCTTTCCTCCCAAAAATTCACAGCCTAGGAGAGAATAGAAGTCTCAAACAGAAATAACTGCCCTACAGAGTACTGTGCCCTAAGTTTCCTGAGATGGAATGAACAGAACATTGGATGCAGTTCACTTGCAAAGTACAAATAAATTGCTAGAGGCACTCTAAGAAAAGAGAGGCCATGGGAAAGGAAGGAAAAGAGGGCAAGAGGGAGGGAGGAAAGAAGGGAACCAGTAGAATCTGATATCTATGGTGATCAAGGAAAGCTCTGAAGAATAACGTAGGTATAGATGCTAAAATGACTTGGAGTCAAACAACCGTCAATTCAAATACCAGCTTTTCTACACATTAAATCTACGTGTCTTTGGATAACTTATTTATCACCCAAAGCCTCAGTTTTCTTATAAGTAAAATGGGAATATTGCCTTCCTTGTAAGGTTGTTGTTAGGATTAATTTGGATAATGGATACAATACTGGCACAAACTAAGACAATATTCTCTAATATTCCTGTTTCACTGAGTATAAGGTGCTGGATTTTTGTTAAATGACTCCTCCGTCTATAGAATGAGTCACCAGAAAAAATTTATAATGTTTTTCTCCTTAGTTCTATTAACATGGTGGCTAATATTGATAGATTTCCTAGTATTGAACCACCCTTGCCTTCTTGGAATAAAACCCAGTCAATAGCAATACATGTCTTTTTGATATGCTGATGTTAATATTTTCACATTAAGATTCGCCAGGAACATTGATTTGTACTTTTGGCTTCTGGTGAAACCTCTGCTAGGTTTCAGAACAAGCATTATGCTTATCTTATAAAACAAATTTGGAAGAGTCCTTTATGTTTCCATAATTTAAGTAGTTTTGACATCATCTCATTTGAAAGATTTGGTGGAATTCCCATGTATGACCTTCTGTCCTAGTGACTTTGCATGAAGAACTTTGTAACTACTTTCACTAATTTTTCTAAGACAATTGGTCTGCTTGGACTTTCTGAATTTTGGTAAGTTGTAGTCTTCTGTAAAAAGTATCAATTTCATCTCATCTCCAAATTCATTTCACAGAATCATGAAAAGTGACTCCCTTGGGATTTTTTATTTTCTTTGAATAGTGATTTCCCCCTTGTAGGTTTCTAATTTTATGTAGCTATGGTTTTACCCATCCATGTCTTGATTAGGTTTGTTAGTGGCTTATTTTATTCATTTTCTCGAGGTACCAACTTTTGGATTTACTTATTAGTTTAAGTTTCCTATTTCATTAACCTCTACTTTCAGCTTTATAATTTCCTTTCTCCTGCTTTCTTTCATTTTATTTTATTCTAGTTTTCTAGCTTTACTGAGTTGGATATTTTATTCATTTGTTTTTATCCTTTTAATTTTGTTGATATTGGTATTTCATGCTATGTTTTTTTTCTCTAACAAATGTTTTAGTTTAATTCCATAGATTTTGCAAGCTGTATTTTCATTATTGTTATTTTCAAATAATTTATACATTTGTTTTACTTTCCCCAACATTTTCTTAGTAACCAATTTTTTAAAATTTCTCAGTAGAGAAAACTTTTTATTAAGTTTATTAGCTTCTATTTTCCTTGAATATCATCATGAATTTTTACTATTTCTGGTCTTTGGAATTTATTGAGAGTCATGTGGGGGGGTGGTGTATGTGTATATGTGTCCTAAAATATGGACAATTACATGCATATTCTCTGCACATTTGTATTTTCTCAATTATTAAGATTTGGATACCTATTTTGATAATTGTGTTGTTCAGGCCTTCTAAATTTTGTCCACTTGAATTTTGTCCACTTGATGTCTTGAATTGAGCTGGTATGTTAGATACTGCTATCATTTCCTATTCTTTCTTGTATCTCCTATAGTTTCTAATTTATGTTTTTGCTGTGTTTTTAGATACATAAGTAATTATAACAGCTCTGTCTTTATTGTGCTTTACAGAATAGTCTCTTAAATAGCACTGGCCTGAATTTAGAGTAACTGACATCCCAGTCTGCCCAGAGATTGGCCAGGATGTGAAACTTACAGTGCTAAAACCAGAAAAGTCCTGGGCAAATTGGACAAGTCAGTCACCCTATCTAAATTCTACTTTTTCTTGTAAGACTGTGAACTTTGATGTATTTTATTTATTTATGTTTTGGTAATAGTTTATTGAGTTATAATTCATAAAGCAAACACAACCATTTAAAGTGTAGAATTCAGTGGTTTGTAATAATTCACAGAATTGTGCAGCCATCAATACAATGAAGTGTCCATATAATTGAATGTATTATTTGGCAATCAAAAGGACTGGAGATGATATACATATAACATGGATGATGGATGACTCTTGAGAACATTATGCTAAATGAGAGAAGCCATTCTTGAAACAACAACATATTGTGTGATGTACATGAATCGCACAGTACAGACTAATTTATAGGCCCAGAACTCAGACTAGTGGTTGCCTAGGACCAGGGGGTTTAGGGAAATCGCAGTTGGCCACTCTTGGGTGTGGGTTTCTCTTTGGTGTGATGAACATGGGTTCTGATTTATTTTCATTTTCATTTGTCTAGTATATATTGTCCCATCCTTTTACTTTTTAATTTGTTTATATCTCATAATTTCAAGGTCTATATCTCTTATTTATAAGAGGATAGAATTTGTTTTGTTAGAGAATCTGAATGTTTTAAATAGGTAAGTTAAGCCCATGACATTTATTGATGTGGCTGTTACATTTGTCCTCTGTTCTGTCCTATTGTTTTATGTTATATTTATAAGTATATAAATCCTTTATACAAATGGTCTTTCATAATTCTGTTTTATTTATTTTTATTTTTTCAAGTGTTTTGGGGTAGTTAGGGGGATGAAGTACTCAGGAGAGTTTGTGAGTTTGTCCAGATTGCCTCCTTTATGTCAATACTTTCATGTAATATCTCTAGAATCCTCCTTTGGCAATTGACTATTGGTTTGCTATTAAGAATAATACTGAAATTTGCTAGTAATCTCTTCACTACCTTCTATCCCAGGAATTGATTGAAAACCATATCCTTTTACTCTTAGGTAATAACTATAAGCCAATCATAAGCTTCATCTGCTTTTCTTATGCTCCCTCCCTTTTTAAAAGTAGATGCACTTTTCCTACAATTTTGGAACATAGAGTTGTTATGGCCTGGACTTTCTCCCTTACAGCCATCATTCATACTTAGTTCTACAGGTAGCTATGTATTTATCGCTCACCACCAGGCCCTATGTCAATGTCTGTCCAGTCAATTTCATTCTCTGGCAGTTTACTCAGTAAAGGCTCCTGGGAGCAGTATTTCCTGAGTTCCTGCTTGTTGATAGCAGTTTGTCTGCAGTCTATACTGGAAAGTAAGTTTGGCTGTATTAATAATATATGGCTCTTATTTTCTTTTCTTGAGTGTCTTAAACATGTCACTCCATTGTCTCCTGCTATAAAGCATTGCTGTCTTTTTTTTTAAAGTGACTTAGTCCTTTTACCTGGGAGCCCAGAATATACTTTTGAGAATGTTTCAGTATTGGTCATTTAGACCTTTTTCTTG